CAGTGGCTCCTTTCGCTCCCTCTGTACAGTACATAGTCTGAAGTGTGGGTCGAGGGACGCTGAGCCCGGTTCTCAGCAATTTCGGTTTGGTTACTCCGGGTAGACTGTGAGGACCCCGGCCTCAATTCTTTTATTGGTAATATCAGCCTTGGGCACTGGGGCCCCTTTAAAAAAAAAAAAAAAAAAAAAAAGGAACCGGACTGTCGCTCCCCAGCCTGTATTCCTTTTCTGTTCTTCTTTTTTTCGTATTCTTTTGTCGTGGGAGAGACACGGAAATCAAGCTTGTGACCGCCAGAGGAGCCCACTGATCGTCCATCCATGCCCAAAGTGTGTTCCCCTTCACCGCGACTATAGATCGGAACACACTTCAGCCTGCTGCTGCCACACACCAGCTTGGCTTGTGATGCTCTCACCTATCACACAGTTCATGTGGGTAGTTGCTCGATTTGAAACACAGTCATTTCATACACAATACACTGTTTGGGATGCTTGCATATTACACATCCGATGTTGTATTTTACTATTTTCTTATTCGCATCAAAATCATTGTGTTTTTTCTTTTCTTCTTTTCATCGCTGGATCTGACTTGCTTCAGGTAATTTAGAAAGAATTCATTCTGGTCATCTGGAGGACTCTGGATTCGAAGTCGGGTGTGCATTTCAACACTTCATGGTTGTACCGACTGCGCTAGGCCCATTGGTGGTTGTGTGTGTCTGGTTCTTCTGTTTACTTTTTCATGGGATTGACTACTTCCGTGGGGTCCTGTTACCCATGTGGGTGCCAATTACTTACTACATCCGACAAACAGGGTGCCAGAGGTGTGTGCTTCAGGCGTAAGGCTTTCAGAGATGAAAGAGGCGGATTGGTTTACCTAGGACTCGCAATACATTTGGGTGATACATAGAAAGTTCATTCATAACGGCTCTCGCAGCAGCAGCAGTGGGTTCTCTCCAACTCACAGGGCATAGACACTCTTCTGGCACGTGCAAGTAGCTGCAAGCACAGACAGCATCAAACACCACATTTTCTGCATAACTAAGACCACAACGAACGGATATTTGAATGCCTTTTATAAATAAAGAATGAGTGCAAGTAGCTGCAAGGCAATGAAATTAAATTATACCTTTTCAGGCTTTTCTTTCAAATAAAGGGGGGGGGGAAATTCAGTGGGCAGGGCTGACTATTGGAGGTGATTTGAGCACACTCCACACACGAGTGGGCTTCCCCAGTTTTGATGGCTCCAATCATTAGTAGGGAGCAACACCTACTGGACAACAGCAGGTCCACTGTCCCAATAACGAAAAGACAGGAAGTCCTACAACAGAGGACAGCAGCATTGATTGCCCTCAGTGCAAGGGGAGTGACTGCCTTCGACCATGTGATGTACGACCGACAACGCCGCATGATACGTGGCAGATTGACAAACCATCGCCCCAGCCGCAGTAACCTGTCCCCATGCTCTGGCGTCATGGTGAAACCCCATCACCCAACTGCCATCTGAACCCGTTCTTTCTGACTGCCTTATGACTCTATCATGTATGTATCCATCCCTCACCTCAATACGCATGGACACTTCATACTGTACGATTGACAAACTCAAACACCAATCTCCATCCTACGATACCCGCGCTGGCAGCTCGCTAAATTAGAAAAAAAAAACAAAGCCAACGTCATTCCTGACTATATGTAAAGCAAATTATTATACTATTAGTATTATAGTAAATTAGCAATCATTTACATCAGTCATTTTGCAAGGCAACAGGAATCGCCCAGTTGTAATCCATACCTCTCAATTTTCTCTGAAAAGGGCAAGAACTCCTTATTCCCTCCTCAGGAGAAGACCCTTCCACCTCTCCCCATGCCCAGCTCATGGGGAGAGCCCACCTGCCGCCTACTCCGATCCTTCACCTGCGCATGACGCTAATTGAAATCCTTCCCTAACCCCCTCTAGACTCTTGGGGAAATCCCAAAGGTACTGCTGACAGGCAGGAGGCCAAAGTTCCAACCGCCAAAGTGAACCACCAAAGGAGAATTGGCAGGGCCTGAAGATTGCTCTGAAAAAGTATGGAAGGGTGGATGACTTTCGAACAAGATTGGTCACGGGAGAAGGCTATAGTTGCTCTCTCCCATCAATATTCAAGTGATGCAAAAGAGGTGAAGGATGAAGAAATTCAGTTTATTACTGTCGTGACAATGATGATGCTCATAGAACCGGCCCCCCATCATGCTATGAAACGAAAGTAAGATGGGTGGTGCAGGACTACTTGTTTTTAATGCAGCCGCTGTCCAATCAGGGAACAAAAAGGAACGATAGGAATTGGATACCCGTCCCCACAGAGGATGAGAAGAGATGAAAGCCATGAAGAATACACGGACTCGTCCGACGCATTCAAAATTTTGTGCAGATGCACCTGGTCAAGAAAGCATCCAAATGCATGTAGAATGTTGAGAGAGATCGACAGCACAACAGAACTCACAGCTGCCAGCATGGCAATGGCCCTAGCAGCACAACTGTTCTCGCTGGATGGAGGGGACATGAACCCCAAATTGAGCACCCCGGGAGACTCTGACTGCACAGCTCCCCACAGAGGCATTCTTCGTTCTCTTCCTGAAAAATTGTATTTCTAATTTTCTACCAAATAAAACCGCAACCCATAAAGCATTCAACCATGAGCCGGGATGAAGGAAGGGGATGTCAAGAAACGAAGGTCATCCAGTGTGCATCGGGTAATGGGATGTAAATGGTCTGGCAACAATCTTAACCTCATCAGAGAAAAATGGTTCAGTTTCACTGCTGGGATCCACTGGTTCGTTAGAAACGCACTAGATATAAAATGTATCCAAGAAACAAACCTAACTGAATTAGAGGAACACCAAGTAGTGAAATAATCAGAAGACTCAGGAACGTGAGAGAGGCAGTATGGGCACCTCCACCAAAGACCCCCTTGGCAAAAGTCTTAAACCACCAGTACTTGGCCCAGCTGGCCGACCCCCTGCGAGCCAAGTTTTCCCGAACTGCCGCAGCGCCATTCAACTTTGTTTTGGCTGGTGCTTCCAGCCATTGAGGTCTGGTACCCCGAAGCCCGGAAGTTCCGGGCTGTTAACGACAACGGCCCGCGGCCGATGTATGGGCCAAGCACTGGTGGTTTAAGCTCACTGTCATGAAAGTTCAGCGGCATCAAAATAATCATAGCCATAGACCAGGTTGTGGTGGACCCAAAGGGCAGGGGAGCTTGATAAAGATAAACTAGCTTAGCACCCGCGGTGCGGGCGGTGCGGGCAATGCCCGCACCAAAAAAAAAAAAAARACGAAAAAGATCACTCGAAGTGCTCATACAAACTCACTCAAATAGACCTGTAAACGAAAACAGACTCAAAAGGGATTCAAAACAGGCCCAAACTGACTCAAACTGTCCAGTAACAACAGTTACAAACAGACTTCACACAGACTCACAACAGAATTGCACGGACTCAAACAGACTGACACACTCAAGAAAGACTCAAACAAACCCAGATTAGATTGAGAATCAAACAGACTCAACCAAAGTCAAAACAAAAAAAAAAAAAACATACAAAAAACAGACACAAAACACATTCAAAACAGGTTGAGAACAGAATCAGACAGACTCAAATGGAACCCTCTACACTAAAACAGACTCAAACAGATTCACACAACCTCAAAAGAGGCTCAAACTGAATCAAACAAACAGATTTCAAACTGACTGAGGACAGAATTGTTGAGACTCAAACAGACCTACAGACTCAAAATAAACTGAAACAAACTCAGATTAGACAGAGTCTAAGAATCAAACAGACTCAAACACACTCAGAAGACAATAAAAACGGACTCAAAAACACATTTGAAAGAGGTTGAAATCAGAATCACACGCTCAAATGGACCTGTTCACTGAAATAGACTCAAAACATATAGTCTCAAACAGATTCACACAGACTCAAAAACAGGCTTCAATTGACTCAAATCCTCCCGTAACAGACCCAGACACACTTGAAACTGACTCAGGAGTCAGAACAGAATTGCACAGACTCAAACAGAACAGACCTGCACACTTAGAACATACTACGGAAACAAACTCAGAACATACTTCGAATTACGCCAACCCAAACAAACTCAGAACAAACTAAAAACAGACTCAAAACAGATTCAAACAGTTACAGAACAGGTTGAAAACAGAGTTCGGCAGGCTTAAACGGACCTGTAGACTAAAAAAGATTAAAAACACCAACCCAAACAAATTCAGAACAAACTAAAATAGGTCCAAACGGAAAGACGCACTTAAACAGACGGAAACAAACTATGAACAAACAAATACAACAGACTCAAACAAACTCGGAACCACTGCTGGGCCGGCAACCGGCCGGTTGAGTTAGCCCGGTCCAACCGGAGCCGGACCAGCCCAGGGGGTTTGAACCGGGAAACCGGTTTTGAAAAAAAAGTGCCCAAATATTCCATTCCTTATTTTCTTTTTTGGCAGATTCCGACTGCGCTCTTAGAGAGCTGTCGGAATCTGCAATAAAATTTTGAAGGTACAACATTTTTCAGGGGGGCTTCCAGAGGGGGGCAGGGGGTTATTATTGACATATTCAGGCAACTATGGCTTCCACGGGGAGGGGTCGAGTAAGCAAGTTCACTTATCTGACCCCCGCGTGGCTGGAGCAAAGTAGGTCATGTGATAATGATACCCCACAAGGTGAACCACATATGATGAAAGGAGGTCCTTGACAGCACTTATAGCTCTTCCGGAGTGTAGCTCGACAGCAGAAGAGTTATGGGTCCAGCTTTCAGCTCGGGGGAGCAGAGCGTTTTCTGTTTGTTCTTTTCTACATAAGGTGAGTTATCAGTATGGAAGTATCTTGCCTGGCAGTTTGTCCACATACATGTAGTGGAGCAAGGTCCATTCCAGATAGATAGAGAGAAGAATATAGCTTAGGTCCATTATTGGGATTGCACCTCGGACGCCTCTGACATCACGATTCCGAAATCCGAACCCATAACGTTTTCCACACATGGCAGGGACGTCGCACAAGGATATAATCTCAGCAGAGCCTCATCACGAGCAAGTGTTCACCTCGTGGCTGAGGGTGAACGAGCATCAGATGCTACCAACGGTAACTGGTCCTTTGGACCACAAGAGGAAAAATCAGAGAAGGGGCCTACCCGACCCACACACATCTTAAGAAAAATGTGTGGCAGTTATCCGCTGTTGATCTGCAAAGATCAGCGGTGGATATCCTCTGCCCATTTTTCTTAAGAAATGAGGTCCAGGATGCCCCGATTTTTTTTTTTCACAGAGGCAGGGGCCTCCTTGGGGCTGGGCAATCGCGGGGATGCCCGTGACTTCCTAGTACAACCCCCCCTAGTGCAATGTGCTGGACTCAACCGGGAGTCTACCGGCACGGTCGACCGGCCGGTCCAACCGGCAGGCTCCCGGTTGGGGGAGGGGGCCAGCCCTGCTCAGAACACACTAAAACCGACCCAAAATAAAGTCATACACATTCAAAGCAGCTTGGAAACAGAATCAGACAGGCTCAAATCGACCTGTAGACTAAAACAGATTAAAAAGAGACTGAAAGTTTGAAACAGACTCACATACTCAAACAGACTCCGAGAGAGTTCAAACAAACTTAGAACCCAAATGCATAGACTCAAGAAGACGTAAGGACTCGAAGCAAAATTAAACAGACTCAAAAGAGAACCTTGGGCAGAGTTGTATTCTTCATGAGTGTATGTCCGAGAAAGAGAGAGAGATTCTTCACGAGTGTGTCTTTTTGAGTGAGAGAGAGAGAGAGAGAGAGAGAGAGAGAGAGAGAGAGAGAGAGAGAGAGAGAGAGAGAGAGAGAGAGAGAG